TCCCTTCCGCTAGCCAGCCCAGCCATTCCTCCCTTCCGCTAGCCAGCCCAGCCATTCCTCCCTTCCGCTAGCCAGCCCCGCGCTGGTGCTTTATGGACATCTTTTGTTTCCTGGGGCCCAGCAGCACGGCGTCCGCACAGCCAGCTCTGCAGGAACGCAGCGCAAGCCGTGTTGCGCAATGTTTATTTACAGAGACAGCTCCCTTTCACACATCTCCATCTGGTAAAGACGCCTTGCGGGGTAATTTCCCAGCACACGAAGGGCCCCCTTGACTCCCAGTGTTTACCCAGAGCTTGACCCGTACAGACGGCAGAGTGCTAAACCTCCCCAGCTGCAAGCGCTGCATCAGGGATCGCTCCTGCTGCCACAGCACCCTCCCCCCGGGCACCCAGAGATGCTTCCAGACCTTCCCCTTGCCACTTCCAGCAGCATCCCAAGCCCTTTTGTGTTTTAGGGCAGGGTCTCACACGCCTGCAGCAACTATTCCATCACAGGAATTCAGAGGCGAGAAAGCGGGGTTCAGGTAGAGCTCACCCCGCGAGCAGCCGAGCAAACCAAGCTGCCGAGAAGCGGCCCTCTTTCCAAGGGGGCATGCTAGCTGCTACACGCAGACCCCACACCTCAAGCTCTCCAGCATCTGGCGTGGGTTTCGTTTTCAGTGCCTTTTCCCTGGTTAATTTACTCCGGAAAAGCCCACCGAGGGGGGCAGCATCTCTTTCCATCTCCCCTCCCTCTCTCCCAGACGCCCGTGCTGTCTCGGATGCAGCCTCTGCTCTCAGCCACCATCCTTGCATCTCAGCAAGTCACTAAACCCACAGGCTTATTTCCTTTGAATACGGCTATTCAACCCTGTCCCACAGGCTACGTGAAGCCACGTTTTTCATCGCTTCGCCCCACTACTGCTTAGATATACGCCCTGTAGGGCTTGCCATACGAATCCCTTCCTCCTCTCTGTTTTGCGAGGCAGCTTGGCGTGGGCCGCGGGCTGAGGCTCGCTCCTAGAACGCTTTTCTACTGCCATCTCATGGAGCTACACGTGAATTATATTTTCCAGCGGGGCACTACGATCTTCCCGGGACTGAGATATCACCCATCTGAGCTACCAGAGCCTGGCTGTTGGGCGGCAATTGCCATTCCCTAACAGATTCCTGAAGCCATGGCAAGACAGCTCTCCGCTCCTGGACACAGTGACACTCGAGCGACGAACAGGGCACCCAGAGCTTCTTGCTTGGAGAGGAGAGCATCAGGCCTTTCTTTTTCACCTCCCCTTTCGCATAAGCCTTTGCAGTTTCTGCCCAGCACTGAACGAGCTCTCCGGCAAAGTGCTTTACAGCTTAATTTCCATACGCTGCGAAAGGGATCAGGGAAATACTGTAAAACACTTTAAAAGGAATTAATTTGCCTTTCGGATGCTGGAACAGAATTTCCAAAGCGGCGCGGAAGGATTAATGTCAGCGCAAGCAGTCGGGCCGAGTCAGCAGAGCTGCTTGCAACGCGCTTCCCATTGCGCCCTTGTCACCTGAACCCCCTCGCTGCTCAGAGAGCGCAGGTGGAGCCCGCGCACCCCCAAAACGTCTGCGCCAGGCCACGCGCGCACTGAGCTCATCGCTGACGCTCGCCGTCCGAGCCGGGGAATTTGTCAGCGGCGCAAGAAGGAAGAAAACAGGTTTGAGGGTGCCGCAGAGAAGTGGCCCCGTGCGGTCCTCAGGGAAGCTTCCCAGAGTCTTGTGGAGCTGAGTGACAGTGCGAGAATGGCATTTCCAGAGTACATCCCCTCCCTTCTCCCCAGTGCAACTTCACCCGAGAATGAGCCTTCTTTCTATACTAAAACCAGCAATGAGGAAGCAAACCGAGCCTCTTCCTCAACCAGCCTTCCTCCCACAGCAAGCGCGGTGGCACCTCTCGGGTCTGAGATCCTCTCCTTCCCGCTGTTCCTTGGAAGAGCTGATTTCCAGTTTGCCCATGGCACCTATGTGGCTCCGAGTTTCTCTCTTCACCCGCGTTCTTACCTCGGAGTCAAAGCTGCCTCCCAGGGCGCTGACGTCCATGTGCAGGTTCTTGAACAGTCTCGCCGTCCCACGGAGGCTCTAAAGGTATTCAAAAAGGAGAAGGCCAACAGTGAGTTCCAACCTCTGCAATCCCATGGGCCGCACAGGAGGAGCTGGTGGGTCCTGAGCAGGGAAATAAGGCCGCGGAGCCATAGCGACGTGCCAAGGCAATAAGCCTGCAGCCAATTGATTTGGGAACTACGTCGTGGCAGCCGCTGATTTATAGGGAGTGCAAGGAGAAAACGGGATTAGAGGCTTTTCACACAGAGGAAGCGCAGCACAGATTACAGCCCGGAGCCAAAGGGCACAGCCACGGTCGGCCGGCTGTTACCAGGGAGGCATCACGGGTTCTCATCCCTTGAGGGTCCATGCGCGATGGTTACCGACGCGCGTTAAGAGCCAAGGCACGCCAACTACCTCATTCTCGCTTTCTTCCTCTCCGTTTCTCCCTTTATCTGGAGCCGCTGCGTCCAAGGGACTCTTCTCTTCGCAGACCAAGCCCAGCAACTTGGTGGTCTGGCTGGTGGGCTTACAGGGCTCTGCAGGCTGCGAAGTCAAAAAGAAAGGGAAGTGAGGGGACAGCCGAAGAGAAAGGGGAGATGCAAACCCACCGAGACACCGGCCAGCAGCAGGGGAGCTGCTACCCTTGCTCCGCTAGAGCCACGTCCCGCTGGCAGACAATATAGCCCTCAAGAGGCCACGCTTTCCCTCACGCCCAAGAGGCTCCTGTCCTACAGAAGCAAAACTCGCCTGTGCCTCAGCGCCCATGCAGCCAAGGCCACATCAAAACCAAGCGTTGGAAATCACCAGTGACAGGAAGAAAGCCTTCAGTGAAAGTGTCATTGGTATGTCTGCACACACAGTGCCTTGTTGTCCTTTCAAAGATCAATTTGTTACCACTTACCAGGTTTGTTTTGTTGACCCAGGGGTCGCTTTCTATAAACAATCATTGGACACGACCGTAAATCTCACATTCATCCAGAAAATGGCGCTCTCCATTTTTTTTTATTCTCACAAATAGTTGAGTGAAAGTATTATTTCTGAGATCACGTTATCTGTACCGGATGCCATGCTTCATCTGGACACAAATCACAGTTCTACGAAGATGAATCTAACAGACCTTTTTCCCCCCAACAGCAATTGAAACAATTCTTTCTTTAAATCTGCTAAACACAGCAGAAGAAAGCTCAGCACAGATTTAGCGCCGGGCTCCCTAGCAAAGACAAGGACTACAGGAAAAGACAGAGCAGGGCAGCGGTTTTTTAACAGGCAAAAGCACTCCAAAACAGACGAGAGATCTCAGACACCGTCACCCAAGCTTGTAAGCATCACCGTGCCTGCCACCTTTTGCAGAGCGCGCTTCCCAGGGCGCGTTCCCAGAGGAGACGGAGCCTTACCTGCGTTCCTCCTTGGGCCACGAGGCTGGAGTCCACCGAGCTCCCCACGTCCGAGTTCAGCGATCCGCGATGGACGCCGGCCGGAGCCGCCGCAAGGCCACGTAGCGGGGCGAGGATCCCCAGGGGCGCCTGGACGGGTGCTAGCAGGGTGCCTGAGGACTGGAGAAGGGACTCATGACGGGAGAGCACGGGGGCACAGCTTGCGCTCCTTATTTCCGAAAGGGAGAAAGCGCCCCCCTGCCCCAACGCTGCTGAAACGCTGCTGGCGAGACCCCACACCAGCACGTGAGAGGTGTAAGGCAGAGCGCTTGGATTTACTCACACATTTTGTCGCCCGAAGACCCACCCGAATACGGCGACTCACTTTGCAGCAGCGAGGCGATTCAGAAAATCAATGGGCGTTACTCCAAACCCAAAGGGCGAGAGCAAGAGCCGCCACAGCAGCTCACCCGTCTAAAGGGACCCCAAAGCACCCTCGAGGAGAGGCCCCTGCCCAGCATCCCACGCCCGAGGCAAACTGGGCAGCTTGGCCTGCGACCGCTCTGCACAGGGGGAATGAGTGAAGTGGAAACCACTTGGGTGGCAAGAAGCCTCCTACTCCCCACAGGCTGCAGTTACCATCCCCTTCTAGACCGAAATCCAGGCTGCTTCCTCACCTTACACCCTCAGGAAAGTCATGGGCAGCAGCAAGCAGCTCTGCGGCAGCCCCTCCGTAAGACGCTCCCGAATAATACACCTCTCCCTTCCAAAGCACAGCAAGAGCCCTGGGAGCATCCAACATCCTCGCCTCCCGGCAGCGCACGCCGGCCCCCTCACGCTGCCCTCACCCAGGAACGTGATCATTCTGCCTGACTCGGTGGAATCCCCCCCCCCCAGGCAGTCTCCCCCCGCGATACACCGCACGGGTTAACCTAGAAGCACACGTACGCCGGGATTTTCCTCGCAGCCTGCCGGAACAGCCGAGTGCTGTCGCCTGAGCGGAGCACGCGTGCACGCAGAGATCACAGCTCCTGGACGCTGTGTCTGTGCACGATTGCAGACCGAAACCAGAGCTCACTCACTCGCACCGAGGGCTGGGAGAGGGAGAGGAACACACGCTGGGCCTTCTTCCACCACGTCATGGCCGCAGCCAGGGTAACAGAATAAATCACGCGTCCTGGGCTTAACGAACTCTCTTCCACAGCTGGCCATTACCTACATGTGCGGGGCAGGGGATGTCAGCGAAGATAAACTCTCTTGTCTGAGAAAGGGAATTCAAACTTGTTCCCATTTTTCCTTCATTTCAGAGGGAACAGGGTCCATTTTTTCAAGGTACTGGCCACGGATGCAGGAGAGCTGGCTGCGACTTACGGTTTCTTATATCACCTAAACCAACTCGGTCACTCGGGGACTTGAGATTCGGCAAGCAAAATTAAGGTAGAAATAGCTGAATAAGCTATTCCCCCTCATTTTGGCTTGTGAGACCTCCAGGGAAAAGACTGACTTTGTAGTGTGCTTGCTACAAAGAGCCTTAGAGCCAAAATTAAAGGTTTTGTATTTGATGTTGCCGTCCCACTTCATTTACTGCCCATCACCCGGTTCTTTGAGTTCAGAAGGCACCTTGTGTCCTCGCAGAACTAAAGCAAGGCGCGAGTTGTGCAGCGTTTGCCGTGCGAGGCCACAAAGAAAGGCTTTTCCAAGCTACCTCCTGAGCTTCAGGAAAGCCACTAAAACCAACGCCACATCTGCTTATGTCACCTCCAGCAGGACGGGTTTGCCCGTTTTCCCCTGGAAATTAGCTCGGAAGCAAAATTTCACATTCTCAGTTCTCCAGAAACGTTCACAATGGAAGGGCCGTCCCAAAGGACCGAGTCCTACCTCATTCCCGCCGGCTCCTTCGCCAGCCTCTGCTCTGCTGTACCTCCCCGCGGTTTCTCTGCTTTGGGTCGTCTCCACGTTCACGTGCCGACAGCGACTGCTGCTCCCCGGGCACTCACCCTCCGAGTCTGCTGCGCCTCTCTCTGCCTGCGCTCCCGCAGCTTGCTCTGCCCGTCCGGTTCCTCCCTTTACTTCTCCTTGCGCTCTAGCACCGTTAGACTCCTGGGCAGCGCGGTTCACACCGCTAACGTCTTCAGGTTCTGGGCTGGGCCCTTTCTCACATTCCTGCGGCCCCAGGCACAATTTCACACCCTCGGAGCTGCTCTTCCTCTCCGCCTCCTGGGCAGGAGTGAGGGTCTGAGCCAGGGGTGACCCTACAGGGGGACGAGGCAGTAGAGGCTCTCCTGCGATGGAGCACACATCCTTCCGACTCCCAAGCTGGTGCTGTGCAGGGGAGTGCCGGCTCGCTCCCAGCGCCTGGGGTGCACTGTCGTTATCTGAACTGGCTGAATCGCTGCTATTGTACTTTGATATCAAACCACTTCCTTCGCCATTTGTCCGGCCGTCGTTAGCAGAGGAAAAACCACATTTTGATGTAGGATCCACTGCAGAACAAAGATCCAGATCGGTTCCTCTCTCTGCATCTACCCCTTGGAGGCAGAGCAGTACATCTCTGATCTCTTGAGGGACTGTGGAGTGGCTCTCCAGCGTACCACTGCCACTGGCTACTTCTATAACTGCTCCTACTTCCATCAGCTCCATCGGCCTTAAACCCTTTCTCTCAGGTCTGCTGATGGCCTCCTTGCTCTTGCACAGACTGATGGCTTCACCCAAAGCCCCATGTCGAACCTTCCTTTCACTTCTACTCTCGGATAGCTGGCTGCAGGAGCTCAGCTCTTCTTGAGCACACGGAACCCCAACTGTCTCCTGCAAACTCCAGTCACCTGCAGGACCGGCATCGAAAAGAGTCATTGCATTGTTCCTGCGGTAAAAGCTTTCTTCTTCCCTGGCTTGCAACGTGCCTGGACTTCTTCCCACTTCCCCAGCCAGTCCCGTAGCTTTCTCTCCGACTGAGAAGTGGCGATCGGGCTCCTGGACACACTCACCCATCACGTCTTTCATCTTCCACTTTGCTTTCAGCTCTTCACCCTCAAAGAGTAGGATTCTGTCTTCAAGGGTCTCTAGCGGGGTTTTAACACTCCTAAAGTCTTGTGAATAGGATTTCTTTGGCACACACAAAGGTTGCACTGGTGGCCTAACCTCTAAATTGTCAGACTGTGAGGCAGAGGAGTCGAGACAAAGCTTTTCTTGCATTTCTCGAGGTGTATCTTGGTCCCGGTGGATGTCTACACCAAAGCTGCTAAAAGAGGGGCCGCCTTCTAACATTCCCTCCACATCGGGTAAGGTCTGGCACGGTCTGCTGAACTCTGACACACGCGGGGGATGCACTTTGTTTGGCCACGTGCCTGCCCGTATTCGCCTCGAGCCACTTGGTCTCCCTTTGCCTTCGTCAGGGCAGCCTTCGTCTCTAATCTGGCTATCTGCATCTGGCTCGGGGCTCGCCTGCCCGGGGGGGGGAACAGCAGAGGGCATGTGCCAAAAG